AGAAGCGGATATAGAAGCATTTTATTTACAAAAATTGTATTTATCTTTGTTGTATTAGTTCGGCTGTAGGCTTTTTAAAAATAAAAATCGTTTCTAATTTTGATTTTTAATATTTATTGTTTCCAAAAATTATATTTTTAATAAATATATTTCTTATAAATATATTTCTTATAGCTTTGTGCAGCCCCAAGAGTTTTTCTAACGTCGTGAAATATTGGTCCTAGACCCACCTTTAATTATACCGATCGTCATATCTCGACTAACTGAGTCGATCTAGACATGTGTGCCCTTCCGTCCGTCCGTCTGTCCATGATAATTTGTAAACACGATACACAGTTATGGACCAATCTTCACGAAATTTTCCATGTAGGATGGGTTCTGCCCAAAGAAGACTCCAATTGTTTTTAGTAAAGACCGGTTAATATTTAAGGGATGAAATGGACCAAAAACTTTATTATTGTCTGATTTTCTGTCCGCAAATATGGCCCAAACATTGCGAATTTTCACAAGGAGAAGGGGATCGGGCCAAAGAATAAGCATGCCTGTTTTTATAAAGATCGGTCAATATTTAGTGAGGCAAATGGACCCTGACTTTTGTGTGAAAAATTACAAAATTTGTATTCTATGGCGTATATATTTACTCCTAAAGGGCATAGACCCGAGAAGTTGATAGTGGCTGACCTATAAATTGATATCAATTATATTATCGTATGTTCTTGGATGTGGGAGTTACTCTTAAATATTTACAAGTGCTTACGTATTCAGATATTATTTAGTAACCCATTACCACACTAGTGGGCGGAAATGTAGCGCTGATAGTATTGAAATTTCCAAGAGATTCCAGTTATGGTCAAGGACAGCGCATATAATTTTCGGTGACGATCAGATAATAATTTTGGGATGACGTGGACCGAAAACTTAATTTTCTGTAATTTTTCGAATTGATCAGTTATAAGCCGACCATCACCATACAATCCACGCTGAAGTCAATCTGGACAACTAATAAGAAGGGCTGTACTGAATATTAGTAATATTCGGAAAATATGTCAGTGTATGGAAGATGTGCTGTTGACCTCTAATTTATATTTATTATCATTGTAAAAACAACAAAACAAACATATGAATTTGTTGTGAAATAAACAATATATAATGTTGCTTAAAAGTTACGGAATAAGCCTACTGGATTTTTAAAAATATCTTTTTAATGAGTTTTTTCGAGGATATTATTAAAGAGTTTAAAAAGTGGATTTTTACATTAAAAAATTAATCGAGGATTAATTAAAACTTGAAAATAAAAAAAATGTTTATTCAATTAATTAATTAATTAAAAAATGATATTTTTTTTTAAATATTATTAAAACTTCTTTTGTGTCACAATAATTTATATTTTTCCAATAAATCGAACCCAAAATATGATGTTTTGTTTTATTTGGCGTGAAAATCACAACATTTGAAAAAAAAATCACCAAATTGGCATCATTGTTGCTACGACTACAAGTCATCCAAAGTAAAACAAAAACAAAAAACACACGAGCTGCTCCAATGCATGCAAACACCATACACACTGAAATAGTTTCACACACACACGATGATTGGTCGTCAACGACGAAGACTTTGGGGCCGCACACACACACACTCGTGAAAGAGAAAGAACATGAAAAACAAACAAACAAATGAGAAAATAATTTCATGTTTTCTTGGCGTTCTTTTTGTTGTGCAAAAAATAAATACAACAAGAAGAGAAAGAAAAAAAACTAATAATGAAATTAAAACATGAATAAATTTGTTGATAAAATAAAGATAAGTGAATGGGGGAATGGGATGATAAACACTTGCAAACAATAATATAGGTTATGATGATAATTAAAACAGTAACTAGAACTTTATTTACTAAGCAAATAGTATGCGTTCTTCTACTGCTTCTTCTACATCTTTGTGTTTCACTATTTGCTTTTTGCCTACTATCAACTCTCTTTACCCCACATCACACCTGCGGAGCCAAGAACATGAAACTCACTTGATTTTCGAGACATTTCATTATATTTAAACGTTCGTTGTATTCTGATTGCTTTTTGGCTGACTGTTCGGTTTCGTTAAATTTGTTCTGTTGTTGGCGGTGGTATCGTCGCATTGTTGTTAACTGGCCGACCAACCAACTATCTTAATGATGTGGAGCAGCACTATGAATAGCCAGTAAGAAAAACTGAAACTAATTTCATTTTTTTCTCTCGTTTTTTGTTGTAATTATTTATTTACCTTGTTTTTTGTTTTTTATGTAATCCACCAAAAAGAGTAATATATAAGGCACTTGTGGTAGTGATGATGATGATGATGAGTTGATTTGTAAATTGTAGATGTTTGAATAATTTTTCAATTCGTTGTCTCGCGAGGTGTCAAACACATACAGCAACAACACGATACAGATCCTCGTGAAAGGGATTGCCAGCAAGAAAGAAGAATAAAAAAGAGCGCACTTTTATTATCACTTTATTACGATCATTTGTTGTTGTGTTGTTGCTATAACAAAAAATGCACAATCACACACACTTATTAGCACTGTTTCTTATATTGGAATTTCAAATTCATTTCGCAAAAAAAACGAAATTGTTTAACTACTTAACAATTCATAAGGCCACAAGACAGATGATAATGAAGATCGTTTTGTTGTTGTTTTTTTTTTCTTTACTTTGCAATGCAAATCAGTTGAGAAAGAGAGTAACAACAAATACTACGTCGTTTTTCCGTTTTGTTTTTGCTGTTGTATTTTTTTCAATAATTGCTTTTGGGGTTTCGTTTGCTTACTAATGGTTTGGTCGGTTCGATGGTTGAAAGGTGTTAACGCACAGGAAAGTAGGAGAGAAAAAACGAAATGAAACGTAAGAAACAACCAACAAGAAGGCAATTTGAGACGTGTTTAATTGTGGTGTTTCTAATTTGATTTTTATTGATTTGCTTTTTATGAAATTTCTTTTTAAACTTGTTTATAAGCAAGGAAATAATTAATTTTTTTAATAAATTTGTTTTTATATTTGTGTAAATTAAATCCAAAGTGAGAAAAAGCCACGAAACGAACCTTCAATAGGAAACGTCGCGCAACAACTGATTTCTACGGCGAATTCCAGTTGGAAAGGCCGTCATGGTGTTATATTTAACGGCGTTGGGTAACAATTCATTAGCGGCGTTGTTAAAGACGACACAAGGCGAATTGTAATGCAACTCTGTGTACAGGTGGACAGAAAAATGAAGAGAATTGAGCCTTATTTATATTATGTGATTGAATAAAGAAGATATATTAGAAAAATTACGGAAATATGTAAACAATTTCAATAGATTTTAATGTTTTTTTTTAAATATTTTTTTCAGAGACTAAAAGAGGCGTGGATTTAATTTTTTGTACAGACTTTAACATAGATTTTTTAAATATATTATTTTTTAGAAATCACGGATTTTTTAAAAATATTTTTCCACGGATTAAGACTTGAGGGGATTTTTTTAACTATTTTTCGGCGAATAAGACAAGGAGTGGATTTATGAAAATATTTTTTTTCAGTGACTGAAATTGATAAAAGAAATGTGCAGTTTAAAAAAAAAAACTTTTTTCAGAGACTAAAAAAAGCGTAAAGTTTGTAATATTAAAAAGACGTGGATTTTAAAACATGGATTAAAAAAAAAATAATAAACTAAAAGTGTCGTGATTTAAAAAATCTTTAAATATTAAAAGTGTCGTGATTTTTTTTTTTAATTTTTTCTTCAAAGACTAAAAGAGTCGTGGAAACTAAAATAAACCTGAATTAAAAAAAGGTTATTGACTAAAAGAGTCTTAGTTTTTTTTTAATAATATTTTCAGAGTCTAAAATATGCGTGGATTGTATGCATTTAACTTCAAAAATTGTGGTCCGTTATAAATTCAATTTTTTTTAATTATTATATTTTGGAATATATAAATCAGAATTTACTTCACATTTTTTGCCATAAAATACATATTTTATTCTTTCGAATCATATTAGGGGATAAGCAGAATGTTCGCGTTGAGCCATCCGTAGCATTATGTGTTATCGAAAATACAACAACCACAAGGAATCGATAACGCTAACGCTTGAAGTTGTGGTGCGCAGCGCTTCGGAGTTAAGGGCTAAGCAGAATGCTCGTGTTGAGCCATCCGTCGCGTTATATCTTATCGAAAATACAACAACCACAAGGAAACGATAAAATATATTTAACTCCGAAGCGCAGCGCACATCAACTTCGAGCGTTTGTGTTATCGTTTCCTTGTGGTTGTTGTGTTTTCGATAACATATAACGCGACGGATGGCTCAACGCGAGCATTCTGCTTAGCCCTTTAAATATATTTTAACTTTTTGCATACGTTAACGCGATAACAAATAAACCTCAATGCGAACATCCTGCTTAGCCCTTTACTGAGTATTTAGAGCAAATTATTAATACCTGTACTACATCTACAGGGAAAAACACATGGTTGCAGCCGAACTGTTACAACAACAATTGAGTATTATGGGAAAAGTAAAAAAACACACCAATAAATAGGCCTTGGTGCTTGGCGAACCTGTTGAATGAACTTTTTTCAACAGCACTAAACATTACGTTGCGTGTTCTAGTAATTACAATAATAACAAACTGTCATATATTGTCTACATAATTTGACGCCGTTGCGATGCAAAACGAACCCTGCTCAACGACGTTAGTTAACAATTTTGTGTGAAGTTCTATTCTAACGATCAATAATTTGTATCTTTTTTTTGAAATTATTCATATAATAACAGTTATATATATATATATATTTTATATATGTATATATTATATAAATATATAATTCTACTATAATTTACTATTAATTTGTTAATTAAAATATATAAATATATAAACCAAAAGTCAATGTCTTCTCCACACAGTTTGAGAAACTCTGACATCAACTAAACGGCGTTGAAAAAAATATTGCTGGCTTAGTTATCACTTCGCCGCCTCTCAAACATTAGTGGCTCTGTCCAACTGACGTTTAAAACCTCGTGGTCTTTCTTTCTGTGTGGAGTTCTTGTAAACAAAAACGTGCATTTTCAAAATATCAATTAAATTTAGGATATTTTGTTCGTTTAACTCCACATTTTTTATTAAAACTCTCTAAAAACATGGGCTTCGGTGGCGGCGGTGGACGTGGTCGTGGAGGAGGCGGTGGATTTGGCCGTGGTGGTGGCGGTGGACGTGGAGGAGGCGGTGGATTTGGCCGTGGAGGTGGCGGTGGACGTGGAGGAGGTGGTGGTCGTGGCGGTTTTGGCGGTGGCCGTGATCGCAACAACTTCAATCAAGGACCACCTGATCGTGTCATCCCCCTTGGCCACTTCGCCTACAAGTGTGAAGATGATTTGGTGTGCAAGGTAGAAATCGATGATGTGCCCTATTTCAATGCTCCCATCTTTCTGGAAAACAAAGAGCAAATTGGTAAAATTGATGAGATCTTTGGCACAGTGAAAGACTATTCGGTGTCGGTGAAATTATCGGAAAATATGAATGCCAGCAGTTTTAAGCCAAACCAAAAGTTGTTCATTGATCCATCGAAACTGTTGCCTATTGCAAGATTTTTACCCAAACCTCCACAGCCTAAGGGTGCCAAGAAGAAGGGTCCCGCTGGTGGTGTTGGTGGCGGACGCGGCGGTGGACGTGGAGGTTTTGGAGGACGTGGTGGCGGCGGTGGCCGTGGAGGTGGTTTCGGACGTGGTGGTGGTGGCGGCCGTGGAGGCGGTGGTGGCTTTGGTCGAGGTGGTGGTGGTGGAGGAGGCTTCGGCAGAGGCGGCGGTGGTGGTGGCCGTGGAGGCGGTGGCGGCCGTGGACGCTGGTAACACAGACTTTAAACTAATTTTAAGTGACTACATATTTTTTGGTAGTTGTTAGTAGAACAGAAATAGTTTTAAGATTATGTTAGAGACCGAGCATTTTTAACATATTCAAAATACCCGTGTTTTTTTTCTAAATATAAGTAAGTAAATTGTAAAATTTTTATATTTTACAATGGAAAGAGAGTTACTTTTTTTAAACAAAATATAAAACCCTGAAATGATGCTAAACTAATAAAAAGGAAATTTATTATAAAAAAAGTAATCGAAAACAATAATAAAATCTGTGGTTGAATCCATGTTTTTATAAAAACAAAAATCAAAATGGGTTGTTTTTTTATCTGTAAAGGGAAGTAGACATTGAAAAAAAGACTGAAATTTAAATTTCCATATGGAATGTAGGAAAACATAAGGGCAACTTAGAAGAACCTTCCAATTGGCTGATTTTTTAATGACAGCAAAGTTTTAATTATTTGAGGAGAAATGCTTCCATACTTAGCTGGCTTGTTACAGAAGGATTGTTCCATAAGCCGAGCTTAAAAAAGATTTCCAAGCGCGTCGGTCTTGTGCGCGTCTCCTCCAATTTGAAAGACCATGTTCCAAGATGTTGTGTTCTACTTGGTCTTTCCATCTAATTCGTGGCCTTCCATACTTAAAGTATATATTCCGCGTGAGAGCATGATTTATTTTCTGATTAAAATCATCCTGATGTGTTCTTAAAAAAATCCAGGCCTTAGAATGGCTTTGAAACAACATTTTTTTAAATCCACGCCATGGATAGAATTTCTTTATTGCATGCCTTGGATAGACCTTGAAAAAATTATTCTTTATAAAATCTACGGTTTGGATAAGCCTCGAAAAAAACATCTTAAATAATTCAGGCCTTAATGGTACTTGAAAAAATCTATATTAAAAATCCACGACTAAAAAAATATATAGTTTTCAAAATCCAAGTCTTATTGCGGAGTGAATAATCCTTTGAAAGTTCTGGTCCCTAAAAAACATTTATTAAAGAAACAATAAAATATTCCTTTTTTCTTAACACGTCTTTATTGAAATTTGCCATAAAAAATAAATATCAACTTTGATATAAATTTAAATGCTAAAAAACATTTGACAACTTTTTCCAACAAACCAAACCGGAGGTCACTTATTTATTTTGTCAGCCTTGTCCATTTTTCACTAACAGCCCACAGCCATTTGGCTAAAGCATCATCTTTAGCCTGGGGTGCTACATCCTTTATCTGACAATCACTAAAATATTTACCGCTAACTGTTGCCAAGTCTTCATCCAAGGCAGCAAACAATGTGGTTTGAGCTCCGTTTTTCGGAGATTTAAGGAATGGCCATGACAATGGCTTAAATATCAAACTGGCAAAAAATGAATTAAAGAAGCCCATGTGACGGAAGAGTTCGGTATCGACAACGCCGGGATGGAGGGCATTGACAGTGACACCAGTGCCTAAAGAGGAAAGAAAATGAAAATTGTATGATAATGTGCAAAAGGAATAAGCTACATCCAATTTTAATCAATATTGTGGTTTCTGGAATTTCAAATATCCCTACCTTCAAGCCTCCTTGCCAATTCCCGAGTAAACAAAATATTTGCCAATTTACTTTGATTGTAAGCCTTGCCCTCATCATAGGATTTTTCACTATTCAAATCGCCAACATTGATTTCACCTCGAGTGTGGGCCATACTGGAGAGTACCACAATACGGCTAGGAGCAGATTTCTAAAAACCCACACAAATTTTAAACAAAAACATAATTAAGAAACTGCACTTCAAATCCACCTTAAGTTCATCCAGTAACAGATTTGTCAAAAGGAAATGGCCCATATGATTGACTCCCAATTGCAGTTCAAAGCCTTCTTTGGTTAGAGAGCGGGGACAGCGCATTACACCGGCATTATTAATTAAAATATCTAAACGTTTTTGTTCGGCTTTGAAACTGAAAACAGCTCAATTTTAATTTTGATAAAAAAATACATAAAAACAATTAACTTACGTCTCTGTAAATTTCCTAATTGATTCCAGAGAAGCCAAATCACATTCACGACAATAAACATATTTATTTTTGGTTTCCAAAACAATTTCCTCTCTGGCCTATAAACAAAAAGAAATTCCTTTTTAATTTCCAGAGCAACGTTTTGCAAAGCTACCCACCTCTTCACATTTCTTCATATCCCTACAGGCCATATAAACTGTGGCCCCTCTTTTGGCCAATTCGCGTACTGTCTCCTTACCAATACCGGTATTGGACCCCGTAACAATAACAATTTTTCCATCGGCTCTTGTGGGTTTTGTAAATTTACCACCCTGCATCATATCTCTGAAATAGAAATTAATGGCATTTTAATTCAGAAACACACTGTTATTTTGTTCCAGAACATCTTACTTAACAAAACATGCTACTCCCACTGTTGTACCGGCAACACTTGTCCAGAATACGGGACGGCTTCTTAAAAAGTTGAATAAACCCTCCATGGTTGTAGCAGGTATAAACGACTTTTTACTTTAACTTTTATTAATTATATTTCTTAATTAAACAGATTGTAAATATAACTTCAATTATTTAATGGACGATGATAACAGGTGACGAATGGCCAATTCGCCAATAGTTTTAATGGCAAGGCGAATTTGCAATTAACAACAGCTGATAACGGACTATGAAGAGTTCACTTGGGAAGAGATGACAGAGCTCTTTGTTTGTTTTTAACTATATTTTTAAATGTTTAATATAATAAGATTTTATATAATATTAATGTATGTTTATTTAATATTTAAAACTTAAAAGTGTTTTTAACCAATATCAAAACCTTAGCCTTTACAAAATCAACTTAACGGCGGCATTGCATATGAGTTGACACAGGGTAAATCACTTTATAATCAACAAGATTATTTTTATTTTGTCCTCTTGTTTCCATTTCCAAAACAATTTATGATAAAAATTATTGATTGAATAAAGGTTGTAAAACAAATTATTACCGTTTTTATAGATGAAATTACCTTTTTTTGATTGTATCATACAATTTGGGTGATTGGGTGACTCGTGTGCAAGGCATTTAAGCTGTGACAGGGTGATTCGTATTACTTTTAATATTCTCTTTATGTACAGTTCCCATAGAGATTGTTCAGTACATTACATACAATAAGAATAAAGTAACATTTAAATAAACTCATTTTTTATTAATTTTTAATATATTTATACATGTTGATTTTGTACAAACTAATAGATATACCCAGTGGGTTTGACTCTAAGGTAAAATATGTGTAATTATTTCCATTTCAGTTTCATTTCATATAGGAATATTTTTAATTAGATTGATTTAACCATTGTATAATAATAAGAGGAGCGACATAACTAAAAAAACAACTATGTAGGTTGTGACTTCACCTGTCAAATATAAAAATAATTTGATGTGTTTATTTGAAAATGTTTTCAACGCATAAATAATATTTGATAGAATAAAACGGCATTTACATTAGAACTTTTTGTAGGGTTTACCTACTTTATAAGGATTTATTTGACAAATAGGCAATGGAATTGACAATTGAAACCCACTGGGTTAACTAAATCCGGTACAATGTAAACGTACTATAAGCCACCTTGGGAAAAAATGTAATCAGTTGGTAGCTATGCCCTACCTTGAAATAATTAAATCATGGGTTTAACAAAGCTTTCAGCAAATAAAATATTCTCCTTATTCCATATAAAATAAAAGAAGGGTTGATTGGCAAAATGTTTTTTTCGGCATATAACATAGCCTAAATTCCATGCCAGTGGCGGCAGCTGCTTCTGTGCCCCCCTCATTCACTTCAATGCAGGTTTTATGAAAAATTTGCGAAACACGATTTATGTGATTGGTCTCCAAAATATTACCCAAATCTGCAGTTTCATTGAACAATTGTGAAATGCCAATCTAGAAACAAATACGATTTTTTGTATTAAAAACTTTAAAATACAAAATTAGAATATATAAAATAAGGATTAACAAATAATTATTATTAAATTCTACATTAAAATATTTTGCAGAGTTAACATCCTCTATGAGGACTTATTTTACGTATATGCAATGGCATTGACAAATTCAAGCCCACTGATGGTGTCGTAATCTAAGCATGTTGCAATATTCCTTTTCTGTTCCACCATTTTAAAGCCAAAAATCGTTTATTGTTAATTGTAAAAATATAAAAAGTTTTTATTTATTTTTATAAATACATCAAATTGTTGAAAGGAAAAAAGAATAGTGTAATAAATAGTCGAGATTATTTATTATAAAATATGCCATAATTGCTTATTTTTATGCTCCAATCTGTGGCGGTTTAACAAAAGCACCAGCAAACAAAATATTCTTCTTATTCCAAATAAAATATAAAAATGGACAATCGGCCATAAATTGTCGAGGCATACAACGGAATGTAGCTACTAATCCTGTAGCCGCAGCTGCTTCGCATCCTTCTTCGTTTACTTCAATGGAAGTTTTATGAAAAATATCCGAAACATAAACACCCTGTGTTTCTGATTCTAACATATTGCTTAAATCGGCTGCTTCAAAAGCGGTCTTTATACCCATCTGAAAAATTTAATAAAAGATGAGATTTTTAGTCTTATAGATAGTAATTTTAATATTTGTTCCATTAGGTTTCTTATATTTTTATTGTTTTATGGCCATGGACATGCAAGGGAATTTATCATTTTAATTATATGTTTAGTTTTGGTTTTGAAAATAAAATGTTGATATATTTTCTACAGTAATAATTGTCATTCCGTTGACACATATCCAAATGAGATGGCAAAGATTTGTTTTATCACAAAATGAGGTTCATGTAAGGGCGTATTTACACAGGACTTGATTTATAATAAATCATCATTTAATCTGTCAAATAAATAAGGATTTAAGTGACAAATGTTCAGTGTAAATTTGGACTTCGTTTAAAAATTACATATGATGTCTTCCTATAATTATTTAGTAGTAATGTAAATTTACTTTATCGTTAAACGTACTTCTATTTTTGTATTCTATATAATATTTTATTTGTCATATTTGCAGTTGTCATAAAAACTATATACAAACTAAACATTGAATTAATATTTTTTAAATTAATCTCTGGGAATGTTTTCACATCATTTACATTTATTTGACAATTTAAGGTTTAGCAAATGTTCCTGCAAATAAAATGCTCTTCTTGTTCCAAATAAAATACAAGAAAGGATGCTTAGCATTAAATTGACGTGGCATACAAAAAAATACGCCTTTCATGCCCGTGGCTGCAGCAGCCTCAGTGCCTTCTTCGTTTACAATAATCGATGTTTTATGAAAGATTTGTGAAATTTTAAGATTATTGGAAGATTGTATAAGGTTACTGAAATCAGCTGTTTGACTTAAAGCCTTATTTACACCCATCTGAAAAGATAAGTGCATAAATTTAGAGATGTTGACAAATGAAAAAAATCATTTTTCAAGTTGTAAAATATATATACGTCGTATATAAATGAAGCAAAATGGCACAATAACCAATGTTTGATGAAAATGAGAAACAAATTCTGCTATGTCTGCTTTTCCACAGGCAAATTTTTATTTGGCAAATACTGAGTTTGTAGGCGGGAGGGGTGCGAGGAAGAAAAACAAAAATTTGCCTGTTCAGAATTTGCGTACACGCAAATTCTGCTTTGCTCTGTTCGTTGAAAACAATTTTTTTGACATTTCCTTTTGAACCTATTCGCTTTACTGACACACAGCCGGCTTTTGTTTACAAACCTGTTGCTTTAATTTGTGCAAGTGAAATTTAATTTTTAATTTTTGCAATTTATATAATAAAATATATAAAAAATAAATAAAATATTAAAAAAAATCTTTAAAATGCAAACACTTTTGACTTTTATTATCTTTCTTTTGTATTTTGATTCGCAAATTTGGCAAAGAAAAATTTGCTAATGGAAAAGCAAGCGAATATTTCAAAAGAGAAAACACAAAATTTGCCAAATAAAAATCTGCCTGTGGAAAAGCAGACTTACAGAAAATGGAAGAAAATTCGTATGTAATGCAAAGTTTCATTAAATTAGAAACTAATTCCTTATATATTCATAAGGAAAGTTCTAGATAGAGGGCAATGTATTGATGCAGGGAGCTTAAATGTTCCCGGGGAACATACCAGATAAATTTTTCTTTTATTATTCATTTTATTTTTAATATTAAATGCAATACAAATAATTGTGTTCGTCCTTTGTTTGATGTTTATTTTGGCGCAAATCAAATGTTTTCTTGAATCAGCTGTTTATTTGCTAAATCTTACTAAATGTTGTCTGTTTACTTTTTTCAGTATTATCGCAAAAGAGAGTAAGAAAGGCTTACTCTCTGAACTAGAACTTACTGAATAAATAGGTTCGTTCGTTTACTTTCCCAGTAAGAATTTGCAGAGAGTAAATACGAATTTTTCCTTCTCAAGAGAGAATACTGCAAAAAGTAAACGAACAACATCCAGTAAAAAGATTGTTTCGACAAACTAAAAAACAGCATTTTTATTAGAAAAATGGATAACAAGCGGAAAATTGATGTTGTTTGTCCCCCACAAACATTTAAAAGGGTTGTGACCGGTAAGTTTTAACTATTTAATGATACAAAATCAAAATAAAATTCACAAAACAATCAATTTTCTTGAGAACAATTTTTTGTTTGTTTACAAAACAGCTAATTAAATATCAGCTGATGGTACAAGAAAATTCTTACTGAGTAAATTTTCCTTGCAAGAAGTTGCAAATACTCAGTAACACAACTGTCAAATCTGCTCTCTCAATTCACTCTCTTTTACTGGACTTTTGGGTAAATGAACAACATTTTGTAATAATTTGTACAAATTCGTACAGATTATTGAGTAAACGAACGAACCTAATGTTACTGGAAAAGTAACCAGACACACTTAATGAAAGCACGCATTTCTAATTTTTCCATTGTAAGGCTAAGAACTTTTCTAAACTGTCCTCGTGTTGGCTATTGCAATGACCTTTCCCAACGCGAACAGTTTAACCACTATCAGCACACAAAGCTTAGCTTAACGTCACAGGTGTATACCTTTAATAACCATTTTAAAAATGTGTATATATGTATATGACTTATAAGGAAATACCATTAACAACCATTACCATAATTTAGGTCATACCCGCACTCACAACATACGACAAATACAATTCCACAATACAATGCCATTGGTGGGAGTAAATAATACCATACAGAACAACAATCCAACACCGATAAGATTACAAGCCAAACATGACATTTCGAAATTTGTGTTTTTGTTAGTCAACAAAAAGTACAACAAAAATGTCCCCCTACTTACCTCTTGCATTACTTTCGACAGCTCAATCGAATATTCAATTTTAAATTTGGGAAATTTAACAATCATATTGCTGGCTGTGCTCAACTGTTGATCCAAGTCCAATAGATTTACACCTTTTAATTTCTCCACCAAGGCTTTGAGTCCATCACGTTTCACGGGCAATAGCACAAACATACTCAAATCAGAATCTTTATAGGGCATTTCTAATGCCTCACATTCATAGTCGGGCAAATAGCCCAAACGAAAATCACCTTGATTACGCATAAATTCCACTTGAATTGATTCATTTTCATTTAACCAGAAATCGTCTTCTTTGGTATCTTCGGGATCGAATTTCTCTTGCCATTCACCCTTGAAATGTAGGGCATTCAGGAGAATTAAACGGGTATCGGCATCCAAAGCATCCGAGGGTATTAAATCGGTGATTTTACCTGAAGTCTTTTCTTCTACCCAGTTGTTGATTTTATTTGCGGCCGCTACATTTTCGGCAAAATTAATGGACTCAGCAGAGGCATAGTATTTTTCCTTAGTTATGGCAGCATATTCCGGTTTAATGGTATGTCCCTCTTGAACATAAACTTTATTGGCTATTTTTACTAATTTGTTATTTTCATATTTAGATAGGACCTGATGAAAACTATTGGCAACATCTTTGGTGCAGTTTGATGGAAAATTCATAACTTTGGCAATTTCTTCGGCGGTGGCACCCTTGGCACCGGTAAATGCCAAGGCCATACATGTTTGTATGGACAAAGGGGAAATCAAAACATTTTCCTTGTTTGTGGCAGCTTGGAGTTTATCCAGCAGTTCAATGGATAGTTCAGCACCGCCGCGATTAAATTTCGTATTATTTTCAGCCATATTTTTTTTTGTTTCTTTGCTTTATTGCAAATTTTTTAAAGAATTATAAAATGTTTTCACAATGTTTTATCTAGCACTGGTACAAACAACTTTCTTCTAACCCGGTCTCTTGTGCAATGCTATTGCCGAAATTCTGCTCAAACAACAATACCTAGCATGTATGTGCTTCAATGATGACAATACTTGCCATCGTGATGGTAAACAAATTGAAGGGGGGAGTGTGGAGGTGAGGTTTTTTGTTATTGAATTGATGATTCAATCTGCACAGTAAAAAAGTATCTGCATACAATCATACATTTTAAATATGAACGCATAGTATTCGAAGTACCCAATTTAACAAGTAATATAGAGATGACGTTCAATATTTTGTCGGCAATAAAAAATAACGAAGGAAGATTCTCAGGATATTGTATCTTGCATTTGAAACTGTCTTTGTCTTCATGTTGTGTACAATTTTGTAAGGAGTACATTTGGTCCATGTTCTAAGGACTACATTTTTGCTTCCTTTTGGCTGTAAAAAAAATCAGACACCAATAAAACCAATGTTTTTGATGTTTCATTTAAGATTGGACATAGTAATTATTATGATTTTGTCTCAGTCGCCAACCCTACTCAATATTTTATATCGACATTGTGGATTTACCAAATTTTTGTTATTGTCGTTGCCGGTATTTTTTGTTTTGTTTGGAGGCAACAATTGTATTTATTCGTTGGAGAGCCCACTTGTTACTCTCTCTCAGAAACTATATACTTTTTGTTTATTTCGAACAGACCTACACATAATGTATCCGATAAGTAAACAAATTGTATACTTTTGATGAATTTATTAAAAAAAAAACAAACAAACAAACAACAAGTGTGATGTTTTGTGGAAAATAAATATTTATTTGTTTTTTCATTAAATAATACTAAAGTCCCCAAGACATAAAATTTTACTGGTTTTTCGGCCAGAAGATTTTTTTTATCAATTTAAATTTCCCAATTCAATCATCTTTTAAGATTGGAAACTATATTCTTAAATAACTAGACTTTTTAAAATCTCTGTCTTTTTTACTGATATTGAAAAGTTTAGAAACTCGAAAAAAGTTCGATTCTGATTGTTTTATCTTTGTCTTTACTTAAACATACTTAATACAAAAATATGATTCTCGGGATTTATTCCCATTAGTTTCAGTGTTTCGTTCACGTTTTTGATCCAAAGACTTTTGGAGCCCAAAACCCATAAAAGGAAACAATTTCGCAACAATTCCTATTGACCTTCATAGGAATGCTATATTTTTTCCTCTGACAAATCGAAATATCAAATTTCAACCACTTCGGCCGATGAAGGTGGCTCAGACGGGATTAAAAATTGTCTACAAGAAAGTATTTCCGAGAAGCATTATTCATTTACTCCATTGGGAAACGATTATGACCTTCAGAATACCTAAAATCGGTGAGTACCGTAAGTAAAAGTAATGCCAAAATACGGACCAAAAATTAATAAAAATTTGTCAGGTGGTTTCTGTTACTGTATAACGCCATCGATTGGAAAATGGAGCAATAGCAAAACGTAGACCAATATTAATAATTTTTTGTAGGAAGATTTGACACTTCATGAGAACCTAAACAAAAAACAAAAAAGAGTCAATTCGGTTGAAAAATCTCCCCAAGCCTCCCAAAATACCGAAAAATGGGGTACTTTTTTATGCTGGCTAACCGGGAACTTTAATAAATATTGAAAATTTTTGAAAGACAGATTTTTAACTCAATCATTATCCAAATTATAAAATTACTGACAATTCGGTTGGAACACCCCAAAATACCGAAAATTTGGGGTACCGCTATTGTAAATTTTTGTCTAATATCTATAAGTTTTGGTAGTTAGATGTGCCATTAAATGAAAATTCAATATACGAAATTACAGCCAATTAAATTTAAAAAAAAAAAACGTACCCAAATTTCCTGAAATACCGAGAATTGGGGCTATCCTCAAAAGTGGACCCATATTGATCATTTTTGGTAGGAAGATTTGCTACCTAATGTGAACTCAACGTTGTTAATTTCCGTCAATTCCTTAAAAAAATCTTGTTAACCATCTTCAAAATATTAATATTCGAGTATATAGCTCTCATATAAGGGCTATACCAATACGTTGGCTACTGATGTATCCCATTTTCAATACCAAACATTCTAAGAGTAGTAACAAAATTTCAAAGCTCTACCATAAATATTGCGAGCACTACCGTGATTTCAATAGGCACATATGCAAAAATCAACAGAATTTTATCCTGATCATGAATATATATACTTTATGGGGTCTCTGGCGAATATTTCGAGGTGTTGCAACGACGGAATTATAATTTTAATTTGGAGGGTAACAAATTGTTCTGTGGTAATTTTCAGTTTATTGGCTTGAGAAGTGTAGGGTCACAGAATTGAGAGAATTAAAATTCTTTACATAAATCAGAACTAAGTCTAAAAAAATAATTTCTGTTTCCGACACTACTCATTGTACGGGATTAACAATGGCAATTAACAAATTGTTGTTATTAATAATTGACAGCACTAATATTCGCACCATAACACATTTGTTAGATCATTTCACACCTCGTAGAATACATTTGTATATCGAAATAGAAAATTGTAGCAATTTGCATTTGAATACGAAATTTCCGGTAAACAATGTAATTAATTTGTTTTTAAATTTTTGTTCGAAAATTTGAAATCCTTTAAAATAAATCAATTTTTAGGTTTTGTAATTAGACACAATCAACAATTCTTTCACGGATCAAGGTCATTTTGTTTTCTTAACATATTGAAGTTATGACAAAATCATAAAGGATGCTTGAGTGGATTTTAAGCATGAATTATAAAAAAAAATCCATAAATAAGCTAGGTTTTTTTTTAAACATTTTTATTATTTCTAATTTAATACCTCAAACTCTTATTGAAAGCTATAGATTTCATATTTTGTTTTCAATGATATAAATCATTATTTTATTTTTTTCAAATAATTATTAGATCACTACAAAATACAATATACAAAAAGAATGTTATTAACAACTAACAATAAACTAGATATAAATATATACAACGATTTAAATTGCACAACATTACAATAAATATAAATGTGGGAATACTATGTCATGGTCATCTCCTTTCATTATCAACATTTATTTTCAAATTCCCCCTTATTCTTCAGTGGGAGCGTTAACAAAAGCACCAGCAAACAAAATATTCTTCTTATTCCAAATCCAATAGAAGAATGGACGATCGGCAACAAATTGCAATGGCAACATCATCATACGGGTCATCATAATCATACCGGTGGCAGCGGCCGCCTCGGAACCTTCTTCATTTACCTCAATTGAGGCCTTGTGGAAAACTTTCGAAATGGAGAGATTTTCAGGATTTTCCAAAATATTACTGAAATCAGCATCATCGCTAAAGGCTTTCTGAATGCCCATCTGAAAAGAAAAAAATTTAAAAAGGGGTTAAAACAAACAAAAATTTATGAATATTTAAAATTGTAGTTTAAACAACTAAAATAGTCTCTGACACACGATCCCAATATCCGTAAACAAGATAATGTTTAATCGAAATGGTTTGTTAACAATTTTTTTACTATTGTGTGTGTATTGTTGGACACTACTACCAATTGTTGGTTAATATTTTATTTAGTTCAGACGTTTTGATAAGATATTGAAATTATTAATAGAACTTGTGCTACTGACATCATTTCTTGCATTTTTTTAATAAAATTTCCATTGATTTTGAATTGAATTTTAGGACTACTTGCAATTCGACATTTGTTGGTCGCTCTTTCTAGAAGACAAATTTAGTATTAAAAATCATTTTGGTTCATTTTTTATAGAAAATATTTTTCTCATTTCTCAAGGAACTGAGATCTCAGCTTTCTGATGAAATTTTTTCTACAGAAAATATTATCCTCAGCTTCCTGAGGTATTATTTTCTATAGAAAATGTTGTCCTCAGCTTCTTGAGGAATTATTTTCCATTGAAAATATTGTCCTCAGAATACTCAGGAATTATTTTCCATAAATAAAATATTTTCCCCAGCTTTCCGAAGAACTATTTTCTTTATAAAAAATATTGTCTTCAATTTCCTAAGGAAATTTTTTTCAGTTCTGTTTCCTTTAGATTCCAGAGAATTTTTTATAGAAAATTTCGTCCGTACGAAAGCGTTTCATTCGACTATCTGACCTCTTTAAAAATTCATTGATGGATATTAATAGCATTGTGGGAGTTGTGTATAAAACGGAAGTTTGAATTTGCTCTCCCTAGCAACGACCTTCTCCATAGCTACACCTTGTGACCTTAATTAGGTTCCTTGACCCTTGCCACATAGTGGTACACACAAGAAGTTACTAATAAAATTATTTGCCTACTTTAGATTTCTTGCTAATGATCTCATTAAGGTAACTTGGACATTGCCTCATATTCGAGATAAAAGTAAGAATGGTATTTGCCTAATTTGAATTTCTTGCTTATATAAATGTTTTGAGAGTATTTTCTACAAAAAATCAAAATTTGAATACATTTTATAATTATGTTTATATTGAAAACAAAACTTAC